TCATCAAGAATACCCACAAAATCATTTGTTGTATCCTTGATAACATCAAACTCCTTCACCTTGGGTGAAGAAACCCCCACTTCATCAGTACCAGAACCCAGCTCCACTACAGGTAAAGGAACCACTAACTCCTCAGCCCTCACACCATGGTGAAAAATGGTCTCACCCCCTTCATCTCCTTCCATTTGGATCTTAGCCCTTCCCACCAACTCGAGAGGCATAACTACCTCGTCAGGATCCACTTCCAAAACATTCAAAGGATCAACATTCATGACCCTCTCATCTGAAATCTCAAGGTTACTCCCGAAGGATAATGATAAAGATCCAATCTCTTAAAGCCACAATGGGCAGCCCCTGGGCCACAATGGGCAGCCTCTGGGCTTCTGGAGGAAGTCTCCTCGATATGCCGCCTTTCTAAAGGGAAGAAACCTTTCTCTTATTTCTACTTACCTCCAATCTCCAAAGTTGTTCCCCCAAAACTTTCCAGAAAACTGAAGAACTCTCATCACTAACATGAGGCCCAGGAGAAAGAATAAAGGGCAATCCTTTTCCCCTTTGAGCACTCCTTTTGAGTCCAAAAAAGGCTGCAGGGCAGACTCTTAAAAGAACATAAACACCATCCCCGTCGCCCTTCTCAATCACAATCATAGCCTACAAAGGTTGAGTACACTGGAACTTCTCAAACAAGCCTTTTGGACGATGCAACTTCTCAAACAAGCCTTTCTTAAATTTCAAATTCGACGATGCAACTTTCATTGCCTGATCCTGCCATCCACGTGGAACCAACGACTTCGATAGCCTCACACTTTCCTCCAAGCTCAAACAAGCTTGCAAGTGCAGCAATCCGCTATCCCAAAAGCCACCATCTTCATCTACCTCCTCCATTTATCTTTACGAAATTGTATAGCCTCAGAAATTGCCAATTCCTTAACCGGAAGATAGAGTTCAAACTTTTATCTTAAACAAGGCTTCAAAAATATATATAGATATAATCGTCAAAGATGCAAGCATCTCCGATGGTACAGACAAATCAATGGCCAGTGAAATAGTTATTGCCATATGAAAACCAGAGAAAAATACGATGCAGGTTTTTAAAGACAGAGGATTGGAGGATTGATAAAATCAGAGAGCTTTAAAAGAAATGCAGCAGTTCCTGAGCAAGGGGCACAAGCAAGAACATACGGTTAGACCCCAACCCAGCTGGATGGAAGAAAAAACCCTAAAACTAGAGAGATGGACGGATTACAGAGAGACAAAACACTAAAAGAGAGATTACATAGAGACGAAACTCTAAGACAGAGATTACAGATAGACGAAACACTAGAAGAGAGAGATTACATAGAGACGAAACTCTAAGACAGAGAGATTACAGAAAGATGAAACCCAGAGATAGACGAAACTCTAATCGACATCTTCTCTCTCCTCAACCACTTCCAGTCCCTATTGAAATTGAAACGCTTTGCTTGATTGATACTTATCTCTATCAACTATAAATACAGCTTCTAATTTTTAAAGAAGGAATTTGGATTAGAATCAGGATACATATTGTTGGTTATAAATAGAGATCTGTACAGGTGGTTTTATGGATAAGAATGTATGATTTACACTTATCAGAGGAAATTTTTACTCCCCAAATTTGGATGATTCACATACACTCTTTCCATTGCTATCTTTGCCCTTGGGAATTCTCATGCCTTATTTCAATTATTATTAGTATAAAATTTATGGAAAAAGTTTATATAAGGTTGTAACCCTAAAATGTAGAATTAAATATGCACTTCAAAATCTATTGGACAAGGTTGTTTTAATGTTGAAAAACTCTCTAATTGATAGATTCAGATGTATGAATACGAAAAAAAAGATTTTGAGTCCCAAAAATAGTGCACCTTGCAATATTTTATTTAGGCCGTCCATTTTCAACATTTTCATATCTACTTGATTTTAACTATTTTTTTAGTTTAAAATTTTATAATTAGAGATGAAAATAGATTTTCAGATAATCCTTATAAATTTTTATACCAAAATTACATGTTATGGTAAATTTTGGAGCTGCCTTAATTGGATTGGTTAAAGTTGCAACCTTATACAAACCACATCCAAAATTTAGTAATATAAAATTCAAATTATATGTACCTTATGGGATTTATCCCGACAAGTACACACCTGAGCTTGGTGATAAGAATTAAAAATAAGCAACTTTTTCATCTAATGCGATTTATATTTGACTCATTGTTTATATTGCATTGTAACTCTTTAAGATCCAATAATGTCTTGGGAAATTGGTTAAGGTCGTGGTAGTAACACCCACATCCTAGTTAACACATTGTGGTTTTCATTCTCATTGCTAACACCACCCACTTATACTTTCAAAAAACTAACTCTTAATTTACTTGAAAAAAAAAATTTGTTTTTATTCCCACCACTAACACCACCCACTAATACCTTCAAAACGCTCACCCTTAATCTACTTGAGAAAAAAAAAAGAAAAAAGAATTAACTCCTAATCTACTTAGAAAAACAAGAAGGGCCTCTCTTCCTCATTCAATTACCCAAAAAAAGAAATAAAAAATAATAATGTCCTGCATAAAGGAAAAAATAAAAAATAAAAAACTACTAGGATTTAATCTAAGAAAAAGTTTATATAATGTTGCAACCTTAAAATGTAAAATTACAGATGCACCTCAAAAATCCATTAGAAAAGGTTGTTTTAATGTTGAAAAACCCTCTAATTAATCATCTCAACATCCAGATATATGAATATAAAAAGAAAAAAATATATTGAGCCGCATAAATGGTGCATCTTGCAAAACATTATCCAGACCGTCCATTTTCAAGATTTCGATATGCTTATAGATCAATTTGATTTTAACCTTTTTTGAAGTTTAAAATTTTAAAATTAGAGATAAAAATAGATTTTCAAATAATCCTAAAAAAAATTTACACCAAAATTATATGTTACGTATAAAATTTGGAAGTGCGCCTTAATTGGATTATTTAAAGTTGCAACCGCATAGAAACCGCATCATATCAATCGTAACTATCAAAGACTATTTCCTCATTATTATTAGGAAAAAGTTTGTATATAAGGTTGCAACCTTAAAATGTAGAATTAAAGATGCACCTAAAAAATTGATCATAAAAGATGTTGGAAAACCCTCAAATTGATCATTTTAACATCGAGATGTCCTAATATGAAAAGAAAAAAATATTTCGAGTCCACGAAATAGTGTATCTTGCAACATATTAGCTAGACCATCCATTTTCAAGATTTTCATATGTTTTTAGATCTACTTGATTTGAACCATTTTTAGAGTTTAAAACTTTATAATTAGACATGAAAATGGACTCTCAAGTCATCCTAGGAATTTTTGAATCAAAATTACATTTATGATAAAAGTTAGTGGTGTGCCTTAATTGGATTGTTTAAAGTTGCAACTTTATGGAAACCACACCCTTATTATTAAAGGCCATTTTCTTTTTCTTTTTTTTTTATTTTCTTAAAGTTATGTAAAAGTAAAGACACCACGCCCTTATTATTAAACGCCATTTCCTTTTTATTTATTTATTTTTTCTTAAAGTTATGTAGAAGTAAAGGCTAGAAAAATAGAAACCTTTTATCTAAGGGAAAAGTTTATACATAGCCAAGTTTCTAAACAATCAAATTTGAGCTTATCTCAAAAACAATCAAATTGTTTTGATGTCCAAATATTTTCAAATTGATCAATCTCGACATCAAGAAGCATGTACATGAGAAAAAAAATAGATTTCAAGTTTTGGAAATAATATCTTTTGTAACACATTTTTTGGACAGTCAATTTTCAAGATTTTTAAATTTTCATATATATGTCGGTCTACACTATTTTTGAAGCTTTAAAATTTATAAATAAATATAAAAATATATTTTTAAGGCTATCACAAATATTTTCAATGTTGAAAACACATTTCTCGATATTAGATAAAGGTAGGCTCTAATTTGATTGTTTATAGCCTAGGCTCTATACAAACCGCACCCTTTATCTAATATTAATTATAGAAAACTAGAAAGCGTTAATATATAATTTTATGTTAATCATCATTATCAAATGCCATTTCCTCTTTATTTCCTCCTCCCTCCTGAATTCTTCTTCTCACCGAACTGGTAACGAACCTTCTCTCTCTAAATTCAAGCATCCCACCTGTTTACTTTCTCTCTCTAAAACCTTGAGCAACCCTCAACCATTTTCCTTCCATAGTTTTTTCTAGACCCCATTGTGCGACCGCTGATCCCTCAGACCCGTTTTGTGCGAGCACTCATCCGTCTCACACAAATCACGGCAGAGTTGTATTTTGCGAATACGTGTGCAGCCCTCTCTTCCCCTGCGTGCAGCCCTCTCATGTTCGGCAAAATCTCATCTGAATTCAATATTGCATCCAATTCAAATCCTCAACCCAAAAGCGCAATTCATATCTTAATTCCTCTGCAACTCTCCCTCCGCTCACTTTCTCTCTAAAGAGAGCCGCTGATTTCCCCACTTAACGGAGACATTTGTTCCTCCGTTCGCTTCCTCTCAACTGCTGCCAGGAGACATTTGTTCCCTTTCTCTCCACTCCTGAGAATTTCTTTAAAGGCCAACAAAATATTTGCAATTATCTCTTTCCCTTACTCTTTTTTAACTACCCCAAATCTCTCTCTAACCCAACTGCATAACAGTAATGAAGATTCATCCCAATCTTTCTCTAACCCAACTCTAATCCAACTTGCATGTAATCAAAATTCATCTCTCCCCACCTCTCTCTACATATATCAATACCTCTCTCGATATATATCAATCTGCATAAGAGTAATTCCCAGTCGGTAACCCAACTCTAATCCAACTGCATGTAATCAAAATTCATCTCCCCCATCTCTCTCTATATATATCAATCTGCATAAGAGTAATTCCCCATCGGTAACCCAACTCTAATCCAACTGCATGTAATCAAAATTCATCTCCCCCAGCGGAAAACATATGGAGGCACCCATGAGGCAACCAGAAGAGATTAGGAAACGAAAACTCAAGGCAAGACCCGTGCCCTGCATCGCCATCCCCACCAGAGCCTTTCCCCTCCCCGTCCCTCCCCCTCTCGCCGTCCCGCTCCCACCTCCCCCCTCCGCCTCCGCCTCCTCCTCATCCCCCTCTCTCCCTCTCTCTTCTTCTCTCTCCTCATTCCCTCTCTCTGCAATAGCAAATGACAATAATACTCCTCGTCACTCTGACCTCGTCCGCCTGCGCTTCTTGGGCAGCGGCGCCTCCGGCAATGTGCACCTCGTGCGCCACCTCCCCTCCTCCCAGCTCTTCGCCCTCAAGACGCTGCCCCTCTCCCTACAGGACGACGCCGCGCGTCACAATCTCCAACGCGAGATTCAGATCCTCTGCCAAGCCCATCACCCCCACGTAGTACGATGCCACGGCCTCTACGAAATCAACGCCGAGGCTCAAATCCTCCTTGAGTTCATGGACGGTGGATCCCTCAGCTCCAAGATACTCAACGAAACCCAGATCGCCCTTGTTTTTCGTCAAGTTTTGCTTGGCCTCGAGTACCTACACAAGCGGCGTATCGTGCATCGAGATCTTAAGCCCGCTAATCTCCTGATCAACTCACTTGATCAAGTGAAGATCGCGGATTTTGGGGTTAGCCGAATTTTAAGCAGGACCATTGATCCTTGCAATTCATCGGTTGGAACCATCGCTTACATGAGTCCAGAGAGAATTGACACGGATCGCAACCAGGGGGGTTACGATGGATACGCAGGTGATGTATGGGGAGTTGGGGTCAGTGCTTTGGAGATGTTTATGGGGAGATACCCGTTTTTGCCCCCCGGTAAAAGGCCCGATTTCGGGACTTTAATATGGGCCATATGCGGGGATGAGGCACCTGCTATGCTTATTCCCCAAGAGGCAACACCGCAATTCAGGAGCTTTCTTGAGGCTTGTTTGCAGAAGGATGCGAGGAAAAGGCCCACGGTTTCACACTTGTTATCTCACCAATTTGTGGCTCCACGATAGGGACTGTGCTTCTTCTTTTTTTTTTCTTTTCGATTTTTTTTTTTTTTCGGCAACCCAAGAGAGATTTTTTTGCTGTGTTTTTTTTACCAGTATTCGGTTTTGGATTTGTGTGTGTATTGTTTAGATGGATATATCGATGAAGGATTACATGGTTTTTCTAATGAAAAGGTCACAAGTTAATATTAAAAACAAAAAATATATAAAAAGTAGTGCATCTTTTAGATGCATGTAAAGTTGCGGTTCCTCCTAAATCAATAAAATCTAGCGGATCAAAAAAAAATCAGAAATAATCCTTTTAGTTCTTCTTTTTTTTTTTTTGTACATATTAATTTTCTCCATGTTAGCTACTATACATATCTAAAAAAAATTAAGTCCAAATTCCATCTTAAAAAAAAAATTAAGTCCAAATTCCATCTTAAAAATAAATCAAATCCAATTTCCGTCTAAAAAATATATCAAAATAATGAAAGGCCGCATATCTACATATGAATACTAAGACTCATAGAAACCGTGTCCTTTAAAATTTAGACGAAGATAACCATGCATGGGACGAGATGGGGAAGCCATCCCACATGCCATGAATTTCAAACAATGGAACATGTTCCAACCCCCTACCTAACCTCCCTTCTTTGATGAAATAAGAAAGAATAAAATAAAGTATTATTGTGAGAACGTGAGATTCTACCAGTAGAATGCAAGGCAAAAGAGAGCTTCAGAAACGTGAATAAGAAAAGAAACGATATCTACCTCTCAACTTGATTATAAAAATAAAATAAAATAAGAGTGCCTATGCTCTTGGGAGCATGCCATTTGGGCAAAACACTTGCTTGGGAGATTTATTTTTCACATAAAAATGGGATATGTTACTATAAGATGATTATTTTTAAAAAAAGGATTTTAAGTTCTTTAACTTGTGGATCGTTCCCTCCAAAAATTGGATGATTCGCATATAATCTTCGAAAGCCATTTTTTTCTGGGAGTCAGAGATAATTTATTTTTCCCCCTTTGAGTTTGGTTGTCGGGTTCTATCTATCATATCCCTACGATATGAGATCTAAATGATAGTCCTGGTGCAAGTTTTACCCCGGGGGTTAGATGGACAGTACACTCCTATGGGAGTAGGTAATCTTTAGGCATAGACAGCGGGCCACGTAAATATGAAACCTATCAAGGGTCAAATGCTTTCTCTCGATCACAAGGGTACACGGGCTGGTTATAGCTTCTTTTTTTTTTTGTTATTAAACATAAAAGTGTTGCATGTGTTTCTTAGAAATAGTCTTAAAAATTGGCTCTTAAAAATGTATGCATTATTTTTCAAATTTGAAATCTGTTTTTTTTCATGTACCTGCATTTTGATGTCGCGATGATTAATTTGTGGATATTTGAACATCAAAACAATCTTTTCTAATGAAATTTTTAAAATTCGTCTTAATTTAATTGTTTAGAGCCTCGCACTTATATAAACTATAACGTTTTCTTTTAAGAAGTTTCCAGTGAACGATCGTCAGTATTAATTAATTAATTAAAATGAAACTTCAGATTCAATAACGAATGGTTTAAAACGAAGTCATGGAAATTTTAAATAGAAACATTTAGAACACCTTACTGTTTTACGACACTTATCACCGTGACGTTGTAATGAACACGCCGTCTTTTTCGCCGCCTTTGCTGTGCTGCCAACGCTGCCCAAGCGGACCTTCCGAGCGCATAATCTATGCTACCGCGGGAGTATACTGCGAATCTAATCCGTCGGTATGTGGTGTAAAAAGAATGCTGAACCACTTTGGCTTCCTGCTTAACATTTTTTATTAATATTTTGAAAAAAATAACAATTATTTCATACAGGTTGGACTGGACCGCATTTATATAATATGTGGTCAAGAGATATAAAGCATCTATCTTATAGAATGATACAAATAGGTAGTCCATCTAAAAACAATAAAAACTAATAGTCCAAACAATTTTTTAAAAATTTTTATATATATTTATTGAGTAGTGATCGTATAAGACATTCTTATACCTATGTCCGTAGGATTTCAAAAGATAACTATTAAATTAGATATATATTTATAAAAAAATCTCTTACACCCATGTAATAATTTTTTAAAAAATTTATATCAAATTTAATAATAATTCCTCAGAGTCTATACATAAGTAAGAAATGATCTCTTTACTCGTATTTTCTTAATCTTTTCAACAGTTTAAAACTTGACCACAAAAACGGGGTTAGGCACCGGTTACGGTTCATTCTTCGAAGCGACGCCGCCAAAAAGAGTACAATTGGAGATTAGGATAGAAAGAAAAAGAGAAGGCGGCGCGTGATTAATCCATCCATTTATTTCTCTGTCAAACGTGTGAGAGAGGCCTACGTCATCGATCCGTTAAGCCTTTACCCTCTCTTTGGGCAGTTACTTAACTAATTACTGTCGTTTGCTTTTGAATTATCAGAAATTAAACCTCCTTTGTTTAGGGGGAGCCGAGGATGACTGCCGCCCATTTTGATAAAAACCCGAGAATATGCTCTTCTTTATCCCATTATGCCGTTTATATCCCCAATGTATTCAGATTTTTTTTGTTGGTTTATGAGGCAAGCTTTTTTATGTTTGTCGGCAGCATAGAAGTTCCATCTTTTCATTATTCAACTGTTCATTTTGAATTGAAGGTAAAGATTGCTTTAATCACAATATCATGTCTCTATATTATTTTGTTTTTAATTTTTTTATAAATTATTTTGACATCAAATTTTAGACATCCATTCTTCTATTAAACTCGTACTAGCGAAAAATATAAAAAAAAAATATTTTCAATAAAATAAAATGACTAAAATATCTTTAAAAGATTCAAGAGGTATTTTGGTCATTATATTTCATTAAAAAATTATTTTTAATGTTTTTTATAGGTATACCTCAATGAAAAGATGACACGTACCAAATTTCATATTTATACAATTTGTATAAAAAAAAAAAAATACTTTGAGACATCAGATCTAAGATCAAAAGGTGAGTGGCTCTCTTGATAAAAATTCGACTGCTGAATAGAACTTATGTGTTGTAGGGGAAGCATAGAAACCTTTCTCTTTCTTATGTACTTGTGGGTATGTAACAGGGACGAAGAGAAAGATGGCAATTGTTTAGTTCAAGTGAAATTATTTTTTAGAAGATATTCTCACATAAAAAGATTCTCTCATGCAGTCAAATGTGGGAATATTTTCACATCAATTAGTTGTCAATTGATGTGAAAAGATGTATCAAGATCAATTAGTATGAAAATATTCCAACACTTCACCACATGAGAAAATTTTTCACGTAAAAACATTTTCACGTAAACAAAACATGTTGACGTAGCAATGTAAAAATATTTTCATGCGAACAAAACGTGGTGATGTAGCAATGACCAATCATGCACAATAAAAATTGTTTGTTGCGTGTCGATTTTCCGTTTTTTTTCATTAACACTGTAAGATTTAGGAAGACAAATACTACTCTTTTTATGACGTAACTCAATCCCTATATATGTTGAGGAGAGAAAAAGTTCCTCTAGAAACTACAAAATTGTATCCGTACCCTGCATGAGTAACTTTTTGTTTCGGACTTTTCATCGCACAAATAAGCAAAATTTAAAGCAAAGTTTATGAAGTCGGACCGGTGGGATGGATCATTCATCCCACATATCCTTGATTAGTCACCGGCTTGGAGTATAACAAGTTCAGAACCAGTGTTAGAAGAGCGACTCGAACCGAGTAATTGGCCATGGCCCGGGCTGATTACTCGGGTCGAGTCCGAATAATCCAGCCTGATTAGTGCAGCGTAATGTAGCATCAAACAAGGGTCAACAAACATAAAAATATAAAACTATAAAAATCCAAAAAAAGAAAAAAATATATATTTAAAGTAAGATTAAGCAAAACACTTTAAAATGATACTAAAAAAGTGGTAAAAACATGGATTTTAAATAATCCACTTGTGATTGGAGGTATTTTTGAAATAATCCAAAAAAGATAGAAAAATGTAAAAATAAAACACTTTCCAATCTTTTCCAAAATAATAAAAAAACATGAAAACATATATCCCAAATATATTCCTTATTTTAAAATATTTTCTTATAATTTATTTTATTTTGTTTAATATCCCTTAATTGGAGACCTTAACTCGGGCTCGGCAAGGCCCGAGACTACTCAGCCGATTATTCAGTTAGTGGTCCCAAGACGATCAAAACTTGAAAGGCTTTCACTAAGAATAATAATAATAATAATAATAATAATAATAATAATAATAATAATAATAATGATAATAATAATACTAATGATAATGATAATGATAATAATAATAAATAATGTAAATATAAATGGGAGTTACGCGAAATCTAAAATATCTTAGTCCGCACAACAACGAAAACAGGACGCCCATGTAATTTCGAGAAAGACTGAGGGTGCCATTTCCAAATGCCCCATATATGTAACCGGTGAATTTGAAAGGATGTATAAATTTGAGCTTAGGAACACAAACCAAGCATCAAAGGATCGAATCCATTGCCTCGCTTTCCTGCACAGGTAAACCCACACTTCCTATCTCCTCTGCCTGCTTAAAACTGCCCCCCCCCCCCCCCCTTTTACCTGTGCTATGTCATCTCTCTGAAAATGGTTGTTTTCTCTGAAGCTTTTGAGCATTTTCTCAATGTTTTTTACATTTCTATTACTTGCTTCAGGATCTTCTCACTCATGGATTCCAGATTTGTGTCTGATTACACTCCTATTCCCAATCTCGCATCATTCAATGAAAGAGAAGCCTGTTTTTCTGAAGAGATACTGGGCATCTTCAACAACTGCTGTGAAGCCACCAATCCCTACCTTCACTATGAGCCCACACAAGTTTTTAATCCGCAAACCCAATCACTCCATCCCCAAGAACATTTTTATGATTACTGCCATTTCTTAGAAACACCCTCGAAAAGGCAAAGCCCATGGCTCCAAACCCCCCTTATGGAAGAAGAATACATCTCCAATAAAAATCCTTCGGTTCCTTATGATGGGTTCCTTTATGGGGATGATGTTCAAGGTTTCTGGCATTTGCCGGGAATTGGTTTTCAGGGGTCAATTCCTTCATTTTCTGGCGAGGTCGCTCAAAAACCGGCAGCAGTTTTGTCGGCCCAGAGTGTTGCTGCTAGGATAAGAAGAAAGAAGATCAGCGAGAAGACTAGAGAGCTTGGAAAGCTTATTCCTGGTGGTACAAGGATGAACACCGCCGAGATGCTGCAAGAAGCATCAAAGTATGTGATTTTTTTGCAGGCCCAGCTCTCACTCCTCGAGTTCATGGCTTCCAATGATTCAACCCTTGTCAAAGTAAGAAACCAATATTGAGAAAACCCTGAACTTAACATAAGTGCATGGATAGCCGACCCCAAATAATTGAGATAATACTTGCATTGATGCAACATTTTATACATTAACATAGTAACACATTTGCTTCACTTGCACACACTCGACAATCAAGGCAAATTCCTCAGTGTACATCTCTCAAAGCTCAAAAATATGGATAATACATGGTTATTTACTTCACATGCGTACAGGAATAAGTTTTGCTTGTTGCTAACCTTGTATATATGAAGAATAGAAAGATATTTACTTCAATATATACAATATTAGTGCGAAAACCATTGTACTAACACACATCCGTTTTCTTGCAAGAAGCAATGACTAGCCTAGTACAAAAGCCATTGCTCTAAGGCACAATGCTTTGCCTTACTCCCTACCTAATAGGCATGCATGTGTCGTTTGGATCAACACTTGTTCTCATGTATGTTTGTGCAAATGTGACGAATGTGGAATTTTTTTTTTTGCAGGAGGAGCTTGGCATTCTATGCAGCTCTCCTAACATTCAAGAAAAATTATATGATGAAGGGAAGTGCATTGCCTCCACTCAGTTTGTGAAGTCACTGATCCAAGAGCCTATGTTACATGAAAACCACGACCTCCATAGGGACCTCAAATGCCTGGTTCAATCACTAGAGTTCTAACTCCTTGTAAATAGACTTGGAATTCTCCATGTAATTCCACAAATTTTGAAAGGAAAATATTTATATAAGCATGCAACCTTATAATATAAAAGTAAGATGTATCTCATAAAATCAAGTAGAAAAAAGTGTTTAGAAGTTGGAAAACCTTCAAATTGATCGTCACAACCTTGAGATACATGGATATGAAGAAATAAAGAATTTAAAGTCCTATAATTGGTCATTATTGTAACAAGTTATTTGGACCATCTATTTTTAAGATTTTCATATGTATATTTGTTCGATCTACATTTTTTTTAAAATTTTAAATTTCCTAATTAGGGTTGACCGGAAACAAGGTGAAGTTTTCCTTTTCAAGAAAATTTTGATAGAAATCACAGTTTTATAAAAACATGCACCTAGCATTGACTCGTACCTTCCTATATCTGGCCGTGAAGAGGACTAAAAATTCGCAATCTGCATTAACATTCTTCTGGGAAAACGCTGCGTTCTTAGTACCTACATTTACGTGGCCAATTTTTATAGTATCTTTTCGTGTGGGAGGGGGTTTGGGCGTAATTTCAGTGGTGGTGTTTTGGGGCAAAATTTCACTCTTTCATCTCTCGCTCTCCTATCTGGACTCTCCCTCTAAATTGTCGCAGTTTATGATATTTCTCTACAGCATGTATACTATTCTCGTTTGGGCGCATAGTTATTTCTAGTCCCTCCATCAGAATATCTATTTGTAAAGATTTTTTCACTCAGAAATTTGGGAACTACTTCCAACATGTATATAAGGAAGGGAATGAGATAGTTGATGCCTTAGCCAAGATAGAGGGTAGGATGTAGGAGTTCGGTATTTTGGATGTTCTTTTCATTTGCTCTATTTGTAATCTTTTTTTATTAATAAAATTACGGAACATTGTAAAAAAAATATAAATTGGGAACCACTTGAGAATTACTACAATTATTCTCCAAAAGAAAGTAATTGAAATTTGAGGTTCCTTAGAGAACTTTTTTTCAAGTGCATAGAGAGTGCAATTAGTGATTTTTTTTTTTATTGAGATTAATCTACGGGTTGAAGAGGTCATGTCACCAAAATTTGGGTTACTAAAATTAATTCAAGGTGTGGTTTTACCTGAGAGAGTAAATGCACACTCTACACCTGAGCGCGAGTAGAATATATTTTAGCTTCCTCTTTATCTTCCACAAAAATTGGTGCTCCAACACTTCCATTTGTGGTTTGGAAACTGATATTGCATATTATAATATGGAAAAAGTTTACATATGGTATTCACCCAAAAAAAAAAAGTTTACATGCAGTGACATCTTTATTTGGAGAAATAAGATTCTTTTTGGGTAATTCAGTGGGGATGATGAGCCTCTACCCATTTTCTAAATCGTCAGTGGTTTCTTAAGACGTCAGATGATAATAAAAGCCTAGACCTTAGTTGGGGCACAAGTAATGCTACCTCCACGACTCCAACTCATTCTTATTTGGATAAATAAGTTGCAATAATATACATGCATGATGTAAATGTAGCATTATATTAAAAGACATTTCAGATTTTGATACTTCTTATAACTTCTTCAGAAGTGGTTGCCTACTTGTATAAACCAAACCCCTTAAAATGTATACATATAAATGTACATTGTTGTCCTAAGCTCAATTCCTACCGAGGGTAGGGGCCTCTCCCCATTGACTTACCTAAAAAAAAAAAGTTATAGCTAACCAATTTAATCCAAATAAAAGTATTTTCGTTCAAAAAAAAATTTACATTGCTTTTTTCTTATTTCTCTTTTTTGTTTGCTTATCTCTAATGATTTGATTTCGTCCATGTAATCTGATGCTTTTTAAGAATTCATTCAATAAAAGCTCATGATATTGTCAAAAAAATAAATAAATGTACATTGGATTTAAGGAAAAAGTATATCAAAAGTTTATTTATTTTTAGTACAAGGAGATTACAATTGCTCTTGTCCATGACATTTCAAAGCTGAGTGGTTGTAAGAGTGTACACAAAGTACAAAAAAAATTCCTTGAGCTTCATGATACATCTTAAACCATCCAATTTGACGTTAGGAGTTTGTTGTGACCCTCGTTTGCAAGATCAGTGGGGTTGCCCGGGACTAGCCATTGGCAGGTTTTGGTCGTTAGGGTGGTAAATTGGCTTGACCAACCTAACTTAAAAATATAAAAAAATAAAACATAAAAAAACAATTATAAAAAATATCTATGAAAAAAGATATTTGTTGTAATGGTTTTTAATGTTTTCTATCATTTTGAAAAAGATTGGGAAGTATTTTGGTCCTCAATATTTGCTTTTACATTTTTCCATCTTTTTGGATTATTTCTAAGGGCAAGCTTCTACGCTTCCCCTATAACATAAAACTTATATTCTTCCCCATATCCAACCGTCCATATTGAATGGAGAGCTACGATTGCTCCAATCATATTGTCATGTCTCTACTCTATTTTATTTTAAATTTTTTTTGTATAAACTATTTTGACACCAAATTTTGGACGTCGAATCCTCTATTAAACTCGCACTAGCGAAAAATATAAAAAAACACATATTTTCAATAAAATAAAATTATCAAAATGCCCTTGAAAGATTCAAGGGGTATTTTGGTTATTATAATTTATCAAAAATTTATTTTTAATATTTTTTATAGATGCGCCCCAATGAGAAGATGGCATGTACGAAATTTCATATTCACACAATTTGTATAAAAAAAACTAAAAATAAAATCTTTTGAGACGTCAAATCTAAGATCAAACAGTGAGTGGCTCTCTTGATCAAAATTAGACGGCTGGATGGTAGAAGAAGCATAGATCTTTTATATTGTAGGGGAAGTATAGAAACCTTTCCCTATTTCTAAACCTCTGGACATAAATTGATTTTTCGAAATCCATTTTTTCACATTTTAAATCTCATTTAGATGTATTTTGTTTAATTATACCTTAAAACAAATGTTTCATAGTTTTTGAAATTTGTTTATATTTGTTTATAATTATTTTGAACCCTTTTTAGCCGGACTGGGACTTACCCGGTTAGGGATGTTTACCTCGACAGGTTCCGGTTTACTTGGACCTGGCCCATGGCGAGGTTCCCTTCCCGGTTTTCGTTTTCTAACAAGAGTTGTGTCATCCTTATAATAACAAATGCCAGGTTCCCTTCCCGGTTCTTGTTTTCTAACAATAGTTGTGTCATCCTTGCAATAAAAGATAAATGATCTCACAGTACACAATCCTCCTAAATTTTGAAAAAGAATTGGTGAGATGAAACTCGTTCTCTTCGTGTCCCTCCTTTACTCATCCCTTTGCCGTCTTTTACCCTCTTCAAACTTGGTGATGTTTGCATGAGAATAGGTTTTTTCGATGGATTTTTTAGGTGTACTATAATTCTATAATTTAAGATGTCAAGCTCTTTGTTTTATTCATATGAAAAGTATAGAATGATACTATTTATTTTTGGTATAAAGTAGATACAATTATTCTTGACCATTAGATGTGATATTAGGTGGCTACATTTACTATATTCACTAAGCTCAAAGTTCAAAATAAACTTTTTCAAGACAACATCCAAGCCATCAAATTTTACATGTGATAGTTATAAGTAGTTGTGACTTCCTTGTACTAAAAGTAAATGATCCGTATACAATCCCTATTCATCGATAACATTTTACTAATTGGTATGTATGGTATACATTATACACCTTTTTTTATTATTATTATTAAGTATACACGCTTTATATATTTTTCGGTTTTTCCACTTATATCGCGCATCATCTATGGTTGATGCTCATGCCATATCTAATGCTACAAAAGTGACCCGCACGTGCGGGAGGAGCGCTAGTGTAAAATGCCATGCCTCCTAATCGATGTAATTAGCAATGTTAATGGTGAGAGATGATTTAGGGGTAGCGTTCCTTACAAAGGCTGCAAAGTAAAAGGAGGACAGAAAAAGGAAAATGGGAATAAAGGAAAGCCCTAACACTTCTTCATATGACATAGGGATGAGAAAAGTTCCTATTTAAAGTCATGCTCAAGGAAAATCGATTTGTGAATCGGCTAACTCGCACTATTTTTGTGCAGTCTCCCTACAAAATATACTTCAAAAGTGCATTTTCAATCCAAAATTTAGGGTTGATAATGTCATCCATAACATGAAAATGATCTAAATTTAGAAAAAAAATTTCAAAAAATACAAATATTATTTTTTGAAGTCCTTTCTTCACCGTCCTTTTTAATTTTTAGTGGATATAATATTTTTTGATATCCATCTTAGAGATGGACATTAGCTAGACAAGGGATCGCACGATAATAGGTTAGTCGTCTGATTCACCAAAACCATGTCCCGTGCTTAATTAATGGCACGAACCTACGGTCAAGTAAGCTCAAAGCTTCAACATTTGCCTGCGTGGTGCTTGAGATTATAGAGATTTTAAAGGAAAAAGTTTATATAGAGCTGAGGCTCTAAACAATCAAATTAGAGCACAAGTCAAAAATTTCATTAAAAGAGGATGTTTTGATGCCCAAATATCCTCAAATTGATCTTCTCGACATCAAGATGCATTGATATGAGAAAAATATGGATTTCAAGTTTTGGAAATAGTGCATCTTATAGTACATTTTTTTATTGTCAATTTTCAAGGTTTTCAAGTTTTCATAGATCTGCTCAATCTACACTATTTTTTTAAAATTTTATAGTTAGATAAGAAAATATATTTTAAGGCTATCACAGAGATTTCCGTTTTAAAACCACATTTCTCGACGCTATTTGAATGTGTGCTCTAGTTTGACTGCTTAGAGCCTCGGCTCTATACCGTGAAAATGAAATCAATCTCTGTATTCAATTGTCTGATGATATTACAATACAATGATATTATTATAGAGAGTATACAACCACTACTTACTAAAACTATAGGATACAGTTTCTATGTAAACATAGCTTGTATGATATAGTTTCTATGTAAACATAGCATACAATTAGACACTGAATATCTGTTGCAGTAGTCAT